TATTCACAGTCTATATTTCTGGAGATGAGGTATTGTATTGTTTGGACTTTTTTCATCTTTATTGCCATACTATTTATATTTCTGAGATGACTGTTGTGGACTGTTGTCCTCATCTTTATTGCCATATTCACAGTCTATATTTCTGAGATGAGATGAGTTTGGCTTGTCCTCAACTATTTACAGTCTATATTTTTATATTAACTATTGGACTATTTATGACTATTTGTCCTCATCTTTATTGCCATATTCACAGTCTATATTTCTGAGATGAGGGCTTGTAACTATTTACACTATTTATATTGTTTGGACTGTTGTCCTCATCTTTATTGCCATATTCACAGTCTATATTTCTGAGATGAGGTATTGTAACTATTTACACTATTTATATTCTTTGGACTGTTGTCCTCATCTTTATTGCCATATTCACAGTCTATATTTCTATATTTACACTATTTGAGATGAGGGTCTATATTTCTTGTAACTATTTACACTATTTATATTGTTTTGGACTGTTGTCCTCATCTTTATTGTCTATATTTCTGAGATGAGGTATTGTAACTATTTACACTATATTCACAGTCTATATTTCTGAGATGAGGTATTGTAACTATTTACACTATTTATATTGTTTGGACTGTTGTCCTCATCTTTTTATATTTCTATATTTCTGAGATGAGATATTGTTGTTTGGACTGTTGTCCTCATCTTTATTGCCATATTCACAGTCTATATTTCTGAGATGAGATATTGTAACTATTTACACTATTTATATTGTTTGGACTGTTGTCCTCATCTTTATTGCCATATTCACAGTCTATATTTCTGAGATGAGGTATTGTAACTATTTACACTATTTATATTGTTTGGACTGTTGTCCTCATCTTTATTGCCATATTCACAGTCTATATTTCTGAGATGAGGGATATTTATTTGTAACTATTTACACTATATTTATATTATTTACATTTTGGACTGTTGTCCTCATCTTTATTGCCATATTCACAGTCTATATTTCTGAGATGATTTACATTGTTTGGACTGTTGTCCTCAACATATTATTTACACTATTTACATTGTTTGACTGTTGTCCTCATCTTTATTGCCATATTCACAGTCTATATTTGCCTGAGATGAGGGTCTATATTTCTGAGATTGTAACTATTTACACTATTTATCATTGTTTGGACTGTTGTCCCATTGTTTCATCTTTATTGCCATATTCACAGTCTATATTTCTGAGATGAGAGATGAGGTATTGTTTAACTATTTACATTATTTACATTGTTTGGACTGTTGTCCTCATCTTTATTGCCATATTCACAGTCTATATTTCTGAGATGACATTGTCTATTTATATTTACATTGTTTGGACTGTTGTCCTCATCTTTGTTGCCATATTCACAGTCTATATTTCATTGTAACTATTTACTATTTACATTGTTTGGACTGTTGTCCTCATCACAGTCTATATTTCTGAGATGAGTTTTGACTGTTTCACTATTTACATTGTTTGGACTGTTGTCCTCATCTTTATTCATATTCACAGTCTATATTTCTGAGATGAGGTATTGTTTGGACTGTTTTACATATTCTATATTTCTTGAGTTATTTATTTAGTATTTATTATTTACATTGTTTGGACTGTTGTCCTCATCTTTATTGCCATATTCACAGTCTATATTTCTGAGATGGAGGTCCTCATCTTTATTGTTACTATTTACACTATTTAGATGAGGGCTTGTAACTATTTATATTGTTTGGACTGTTGTCCTCATCTTTATTTTATTCACAGTCTATATTATTTACACTATTTATATTCTTTTGGACTGTTGTCATATTCACAGTCTATATTTCTGAGATGAGGTATTGTAACTATTTACACTATTTATATTCTTTGGACTGTTGTCCTCATCTTTATTGCCATATTCACAGTCTATATTTCTGAGATGAGGGCTTGTAACTATTTACACTATTTATATTCTTTGGACTGTTGTCCTCATCTTTATTGCCATATTCACAGTCTATATTCACAGTCTATTTATATTGTTTGGAGATGAGGCCATATTAACTATTTTCTGAGATATTTATATTACACTTTGGATTGTTTGTCCTCATCTTTATTGCCATATTCACAGTCTATATTTCTGAGATGAGGTATTGTAACTATTTACACTATTTATATTGTTTGGACTGTTGTCCTCATCTTTATTGCCATATTCACAGTCTATATTTTTATATTGTAACTATTTACACTATTTATATTGTTTGGACTGTTGTCCTCATCTTTATTGCCATATTCACAGTCTATATTTTCTGAGATATATTGTTTGGACTTGTAACTATTCACAGTTTACACTATTTTATTTATATTGTTTGGACTGTTGTCCTCATCTTTATTGCCATATTCACAGTCTATATTTTCTGAGATGAGGACTATTGTCACTATTTACACTATTTTATTTTATTGTTTGGACTGTTGTCCCTCATCTTTATTGCCATATTCACAGTCTATATTTCTGAGATGAGGGCTTGTAACTATTTTACACTATTTGTATTGTTTGGACTGTTGTCCTCATCTTTTGCCATATTCACAGTCTATTTACTATTTATATTGTTTTGGACTGTTGTCCTCATCTTTATTGCCATATTCACAGTCTATATTTCTGAGATGAGGTATTGTCTAACTATTTACATTTATTTATATTGTTTTGGACTGTTGTCCTCATCTTTATTGCCATATTCACAGTCTATATTTCTGAGATGAGGTATTGTAACTATTTACACTATTTATATTGTTTTGGACTGTTGTCCTCATCTTTATTGCCATATTCACAGTCTATATTTCTGAGATGAGGTATTGTAACTATTTACACTATTTATATTGTTTGGACTGTTGTCCTCATCTTTATTGCCATATTCACAGTCTATATTTCTGAGATGAGGACTGTTGTCCTCATCTTTATTCACCATATTCACAGTCTATATTTCTGAGATAATTATTTACACTATTTATATTGTTTGGACTGTTGTCCTCATCTTTATTGCCATATTCACAGTCTATATTTCTGAGATGAGGTATTGTAACTATTTACACTATTTACATTGTTTGGACTGTTGTCCTCATCTTTATTGCCATATTCACAGTCTATCCTGAGATGATATTTAACTATTTACACTATTTACATTGTTTGGACTGTTGTCCTCATCTTTATGCCATATTCACAGTCTGAGATGAGGTATTGTAACTATTTATTGTTACTTATTTATATACTATTTTATTTACATTGTTTGGACTGTTGTCCTCATCTTTATTGCCATATTCACAGTCTATTTATATTGTTTTGGATCATCTTTATTGCCATATTGAGATGAGGTATTGTAACTATTTACACTATTTACATTGTTTGGACTGTTGTCCTCATCTTTATTGCCATATTCACAGTCTATATTTCTGAGATGAGGTATTGTAACTATTTACACTATTTACATTGTTTGGACTGTTGTCCTCATCTTTATTGCCATATTTCTATATTTCAGTCTATTTATATTTCTATATTGTAACTATTTACACTATTTACATTGTTTGGACTGTTGTCCTCATCTTTATTGCCATATTCACAGTCATATTATATTTCTGACTATTTACATTGTTTGAGGTCATATTCACAGTCTATATTTTGAGATGAGGTATTTAACTATTTACACTATTTACATTGTTTGGACTGTTGTCCTCATCTTTATTGCCATATTCACAGTCTATATTTCTGAGATGAGGTATTTAACTATTTAACTATTTACATTATTTGGACTGTTGTCCTCATCTTTATTGCCATATTATCTATATTTCTGAGATGAGATATTGTAACTATTTACACTATTTACATTTTTTTGGACTGTTATCCTATCTTTATCATATTCATTTCTGAGATGAGATATTTGTATCTTCTGTAATACAGAATGCTAGAGAAAAACAAACAATTGCAATATGAGCTCTGGCAAAAAATTGTTACTGAGACATTAAGTTTATGAATCTCATCTTTTTATATTATAAAAAAATTGTTTGGACTTTTGTTGATTTTAATCCAGATGGATTTGACTATTTCAAAGAGTTTGGACTGTTGTCCTCAATTCCCATATTCCAGTCTAATTTCAGAAGTAATTTAAAAAAAACTTAGAGAATTGAGTTTCTAAAGGAAAATAACTGAAACTGGGATATCCAGAATAGGTTATGGCATGTGGAACGAGAAAACAATATACTCCCAGTGGACATTAAGTTTAAATAAAAGGTTTGGTTCAAAATTCCAGTGTAAATTAGAATTGAGTTTTTGAAAAGAAACTGGGATAGGCTGGAAACAATTGTGGAATATAAAATGAGGATGAAACAACAGTCTGAACTGAAAATGAATAAATAGGGATACAACAGTCTGAACAATGTAAATAGGGATACACTTCTACTCCTATTCAAAAGAATTAGGAGGAGTGTGAAACGAACATAAGTGAACCTATATATCTCATTCTGTTCATTATTTATCAATCTATCTATCTATATCACTCTGTTTATATATCACTATCAATCTATCTTCATATATATCTATCTCTGTTTATATTTATCTATCTTCCTTTCTATCAATTTATCTGTCTATATCACTCTGTATCTATCTATCTCACTCACTCTCTTAATATCTATCTATCAAATTTATCTATTTATATCAAACCGTTTGTACTTATCTATCTACTTATCTATTTCATTCTGTTCATATCTATCTATTGTGGAGAGATAAAATAAAATAAATAAATAGTCACGATTTCTGAATTAGCAGTTAAGCTATTTCCTTCCTCAAATCTCAAAATTCCTGGCAAAAATGAAGACATCTATTGAATCTTGATCAATGAATTGATGAGCTTTTTCCGAGGTTTGAACTTTCATAACATTCCATGGATTTTGTTTTGCAGAGACCGAAGAAATAACAGAAGCACATTTTTCTGGCGGCAGTTACCTCATGTATAAAGGGACCTCATTTGTGAAAAGGTAAACATTTTTCATTTGTCAATAATTATTCAGAAAATAAACTGTGTTTTTAGTTGTAACTATTGCAGATATTTGTCTTACTCCATCAGCAGAAATCTCACCTTGATTGCTGTTGCTTTATGAAATAATTAACACCTGTGAAAATTCTGTGGTGCACCTGGGAAATTAAACAAGATTTAATTAGTTATAATTAGTTTAAAGTAATAATGTTAACAATTAAAAGAGAATTTTTTAATACTTTGAACTAATAACATTTTGTTTCTCTGAAGTTCTTGCATAAAGGGATTAGGTTGTTGAATTTTACATTGGGTTATTTTTTCTCCATTATCATTTTTATACTTGAGGTTATAGATAAACATTGGTTGGTTTTATATTTGAGTCTGTATTGAAATATTGGTTGGTTTTAATACTTGAGGCTATAGATAAACATTGATTGGTTTTATATTTGAGTTTATGTGTAAACATTCATTGGTTTTATACTTGAGGCTATAGATGAACATTGGTTGATTTTATACTTGAGGCTATAGATAAAGATTGATTGGTTTTATATTTGAGTTTATGTGTAAACATTGGTTGGTTTTATACTTGAGGCTATAAACATTGGTTGGTTTTCAGAAATTGGAATGAAGCAGCACTCCTAAGATGCAGTGCCTTATGCGATTTTGTTGCTTTAAATATTGAAATGTCTGTGTTAATTATTCTTTTACTTGATTTTGAATTTTATGCTTATTTATTTTTACTTTTTTGTTGTTTTTAAATCTGATTCCACGTATATTGTTTTCTCCATTGTTATTAAACTGTTTAGTTCAGCCCCCACCCTGCCCCACCTGACCAAAATGTTTAGCCTGAATTTTGATCTGCTTCATTAAATTATGTATGTATGTATGTGTGTGTGTGTGTGTGTGTGTGTGTGTGTATATATATATATATATATATATATATAAGTGAACATTGAAGTCAACACTTAGAGGTCTCTAAGTGCTGACTGCAATGTTCACTTTTATATTTACACATACTCTATCTGATATTGAGCACTTTATCCCATAACACCTTAAGACTATATTTCTTCATATATATATATATATATATATATTTTAAGAATTGCAAAATGCATATGCAATACAAGATTCACACCATAAAGAACACATGGTGGCAAGAAAAGACCCATCAAGTGCAAGCATCCGCTGACAGACGTGATTCAAAATCTCTCTACAGTCAATCGCATACAGTTTATGAATCGCCATTAACAGTTTTTGCTCCTCTCAGATCCAAAGATAAGAAAACCCTACCGTGAAACCCTGACCAAATAAAAGTGCGCTGACATGAACACTTCAGTGAATTACCAAATTGCAGATCTGAGGTTGACTTTGGAGTCATTGACACGTTACCTCAGCCACCTCTCATTTAGGAACTTGACACCTATCCCATCTTTGCTGAGGTTGTAACAGCCATTAAGAAAATGAACACTGGCAAACCACCAGATAAAGATGGAATAAAATCTGAGCTTTTACAAATGGGTGGTGAACCTTTTTTTTTTTACCAGCAGATCTGGGAGAAAGGGCTGGTCCCTCAACACTGGGGGTGCAATACTTGTGTCCCTGTCCAAGAAGGGATCCAAGGATTTGTGGGACAACTATCATGGGATTTCTCTTCCTTTGGTTTTTTGGGGAAGTGTTTGCAGGGGTACTCTGCAACCGTCTGCTCAAGTATATTGCCCCAGTAGTTCTCCCAGAGTCCTAATGTGGTTTCTGACCAAAAAGAAGGAAATGGAGATATGATCTTTACTGCATGACAGTTGCAGGAATAGGGACAAGAGAAACATCTGGACCTGTATCAGTGTTTTATAGACCTAACAAAGGTGTTTGATAATGTGAACAGGGAAGCACTGTGGAAAATTCTGTTGAAACTTGGTTGCCCTGAGAAGCTTACTTGTTTAATCCATTCTATGCACAGTGATATGAAAGCTTGGATTTGTATTAATGAAGTGTTGCTAGACTACATTTTGGTAGAAATTGGGGTGAAACAAAGTGACCTTTTCACGCTTACTCTCTTTGCGATCTACTTTGCGATGGTCTTTCTAAGGGCATTCAATCATATTGAGGTAGGTGTCTATGTACAGTATTGTACAACTGGTAAGTTGTACAACTTTCACGAGTTTGATGCAGTTACCGAAACGTTCATTGTACTCATAAGAGATCTGCTATATGCTCATAATTGTAATCTTATCAACCATCTTGTAGCAGATAGAGATTTTCCAAGCGTAACTTAGATGTGGCACAAGGCCGAAAGTATGGGGCATCCAGTGAGACTCGAACTTACTTTTCAGTAGTAACTGATCTAGCAAGACAAGCTTGCTAACCATTACAAAACGCCGAGGTGCCTCTAATGATTTTACAAGCATAGCTTAGATGGGGCACAAGGCCAAAAGTAGGGGACACCTAGTGAGGATCAAACTCACTAATCAGTGGTAATTGTTTTGCGAGACAAGCTTGCTAACCATTACACTGCCTCGAGGTGCCCCAGTTATTTTCTAAGCGTATCTTAGATGTGGCACAAGGCTGAAAGTATGGGACACCTAGTGAGGATCAAACACACTTTTCAGTCGTAATTGATCTAGCGAGACAAGCTTGCTAACCATTACACCACGCCGAGGTGCCCCCATCTTGTAGCAGATATGTAACTTCTTATGGATTGTTTCTCTACAGCTTGCACTGAATTTGGCCTATCAGCTTCTGGGAAACAGTAGTAATGTACTAACAGGCACCAGACAAAGCTTATGTTCCTCCTTCCATATTTGGGCATCATAAGAAGTCAGAGGTTGTTGATGCCTTTGTATACTTAAGCATACTTTCTAGGAGTAAAACCCTTGATGAAGAGTTAAAGCCTGTGATGACCAGTCGAACATCACCATTGCAACAAAGATCAGTATGTATGAAGCATATGTGTTGGCAGTTTTATTGTATGGCTTTGAGACCTGGACAACTTATTAAATATCTGGAATACGTCCATCAAAAATGTCTGTACTCATTAATTAAAATCTCATGGCAGTCTTATACCACAGACAGTTGTTCTTGAAAGTTGCAGCATTTCTGGCATTGAATCCATGATCTTGAAATAGTTCTTCCAATGGCGTGGTCATGTGGTTCAACTTGAGGATGGCACGATGTCTAAGCAAGTCATGTTTACTGAGGTAAAACGTGGGAAGAGACCAGTTGGTAAACCCTGTGAGCAGTATAAAGATTACTTAAAAGACTCTCTCAGGAAAGCTGGCTTTGATCCTAAGATGCGGGAAGAGACCAGTTGTGCTCTGCTCTCAGCCATTGACAACATAGTGACAATTATGGTGTTTTTTCTCTCTCCTCAAAACATACCTCATGGAAATCGCAACCAAAAGAAACAAAATTAAACCAGCTAACAAAAAAACTACTTACTCAATCTTTCTTTATCTAATATTTATGGCATCTGTTCCAACTTCTGCAGCATAGAATCTTTTCTCCTGAAAAGGTCACCAGATATCTTTGTCCTGTATGAAACCAACTTAAATTCTTCTATTGCTACCAATGAATTCCTAGATCCAGGGTATTTTTTTCTTTGTCAAAAAGATTCCGGCATTCACATAAATAGCCTTGGTGTTTTCATCTGGAATAATATTCCAATGGTCAGGGAAATGTCTCTTGAGGCTGCTGACTAGTCTTTCATGTGCTTCTGTCTTTTGCTACTAAACTCTATCAGCTCTTTTTCCTTTATTGCTCCCCTTCTTCCCAAGACTACAGTATATTAGACACAGTATAGAAAAGGCATTTTCTCTCCATCCATTTGTGAACATCTTTGTCTTTGGTGACTTTAATGCTCCCCAAGACACGTAGCTGAAACATTCCAAAGGTACTGTTGTTGCCAGTATACAGACATCAAATTTTTTACATTGCCCAATCCCTCACTCAAATTGTGGCCTTCCCTACTTGTTTCCCTGGCCAAACTGAACAACAGGCTTCTCTACTGGATCTATTTCATACATTCTCTCCTCACTCTTACTGAGTTTTGTAATACTTCCCTCTTGGTAACTGTTTTTAGCCAATTTGACCAAAATTAAAATAAAACTACTCATTTTCCTAGACAAACCAAGCAATGTGATTCTCTATTGAATCTTAGCTCCTCTTCACACTCTTGCCAAGCTTCACAATACTGCTCTCTTGGTAACTTGAACTACTTGTAGTAGCTATTTTTATCTCCTTCCAAGCATCCATTAAACAGGAAACCCCCTATTCATAAGACCTCTTTCCACTACCAGCATGCTGATTGGGACTCATTCCAGGATTTTCTTTGTGACACTTCTTGGACTGATGTCTTCAACCTCCCAATTGAAAATTGTGCCACTGAGGTTTCTTCTTAGGTCAAAGAATTACCAAATGAAACCATGATCATCTCCATGGTTCACACCAGCATGCCCAGCCACCATAGTACACAGGAACCACTATTTCCAGCTATACCAGCATGACAGCTCTCATCATAACAGGTGCCTATTTGCTACTTCTTGTAAAAAATGTAAGCAAGTACTTGAAGATGCTAAGTCCCTGTTTGCTGAGAGAATGAGGCACTGCATAGCCTCTAAAAACTTTGGCTCACATAACTACTGTCATCTCTGTAATAGAGCACTAAATAAGTGCAAGGTATCTATTCTCCCCACTTTTCAATTGATTTGAGGTGTTATCATCCTCTGCTGATAAAGCTGAATTCTTTGCCCATAAATTCTCCTCAAACTCCCTATTACTAAGACCTCTTTCTGGTACCAACATGCTGATTGGAACTCATTCCAGGATTTTCTTTGTGACACTCCTTGGACTGACATCTTCAAATTCCAAATTGAAAACTGTGCCACTGATCTTTCATCTTGGGTCAAAGCTGACATGGACGCTTTCATCCTTTCTTGGAAATACCAGGTCTTCATGGTTCACACCATCATGCTTGACTGCCATAGTACACAGAGACTACTATTTCCAGCTATACCAGCATAACAGCTCTTATCATGACAGGTGCCTATTTGCTATGGCTTGTAATAAATGTGAGTCCTTGATGGAGCTAAATCCCTGTTTGCTGAGTGAATGGAGCACAGCATAGCCTCTAAAAACTTTGGCTCTCCTGACTACTGGCAGTTTTGTAATAGAGTACTAAATAAGTGCAAGGACTCTATTCCCTTCCCTCTTCAATCAGTTTGAGGTTTTATCCTCCTCTGTTGACTAAGCTGAATACTCATAAATTTTACTCTTGACTTATTTTGGAGTATATCTGCCTAACTTACCACTTAGAACTGAGTGTCTGTTGAGTGATATGTATATAACCTCATCCATGATTTCTGCTATCATCTCTAACCTAGATCTTCACAAAACATGTGGACACGATGGCATCCCTATAATAATCATTAAGTTGTACGCTCCCAAACTGGCTCCTGTTCTCTCTAAATCTTACTTATTATAAAATGCAGATTGTGTGTGTGTGTGTGTGTGTGTGTCTGTCTGTTTGTTTGTTTATATATTGGATCGAATTTCCTACATTTTTCAACCGATTTCAACAAAACTTCACAGGACTATGTAAAATTACCTTGTGGTGGTTCTGACAGCACCAAAAATTGGAAAAAAACAAGAGGCATCGCGATAATGAAAAGGGGACAACTCATATTGAGTTATACTTATTATAAAACCCAGGTTGTGTGTGTGTGTGTGTTCCTTTATATATGGGATCGGATTTCCTACATTTTACAACCGATTTCAACAAAACTTCACTTTTTTTTTTTTGGCAGGTAGTGTTTCTTATTGTCTTGCACACTTTTTTTTTTTTATTTTTACATTCAGAATGCTTTAAAAAAATTCCATTTACAAGACAATTGTTTATAATAAAATTCTATTCAATCAATAGACTCATAACGATTGAAAACAATGTTTTTGTTTGAGTTTGGGTTTGACCAATTTGTAAAAAAAAAACAAAAAAAAACAAAAAAAAAACTAATTAAGACATGCGTGTCCGTCAACCTTACACAATAATCTTTGTCAATTTTATTTTTCAGTCTTTATGATGGTCAATACTTGATCTATCTCTTACTGTTACATCCCCAGGCAACGTCGGGCTCTACTGCTAGTTGTATAATAAATGCCTTGCTGCCTCCTGTTTTCCTGCCTGCTGGAAACCATTGTCTGTTGTTCTAGTTTTTAAGAATTCTGGTGAACAATCTGACCTCTCCAACTATTGGTCTATTAGCCTTCTGCATCTTTTTGGAAAACTCTTAGAGGCCCAAATCAATGCTGAATTTGTTCATCATTTTTCGTCACAGGGCCTTTTCTCAGAAAAGCAATATGGCTTTCATATCTCCAGGTCAGTTGCTAATGTACTAATGATAAATGCGGGAAGAATCTATCATGCTCTAGATAAAAACAGTAAATCCCAGGCAGTAGCATTGGACATCTCAAAAGCCTTTGACAGAGTCTTGCATATAAGTCTTCTCCACAAGCTGAAAAGCTACAGTATCTCTGGACACATTTTTGGGCTAATCCAGTCATTCCTATCAAATTGTGAAATAAAAGTTGTCTTGAACAGCTACTCCTCTACATCCTTTTGTACTAACACAGGTGTCCCTCAGGTGTCCATCCTTGGTCCGACACTCTTCTTAATCTTCATTAATGACCTTACTGATGACATCAGCTCCCAACTTGGCATCTACACTGACAACACTACCATTTACTCCTGCTTCGATAATAGGGTTTGATCAGTCTGACAAGGTCAAATGGCAGCTGATGTACAAAGCGACCTCATGATCATCATCAACAGGGGCAAAAGATGTCTTGTCAATTTTAACACCTCCAGTTCACTGTGTGTTGTGAAACAATTTTTCTCTCTGGAATCTCTCTTGCATATCTATAAGTCTACCATTTGTCCATGCTTAGAATATTACTGCCAGTGCCCCTGCTATTTACCTGGAGCTCCTTGATGATATCCAAAGAAGAATCAGCAATATTATTGGTCCTGAACTAGCAGCTTGGCTTCAATCATGTGCTCATCATAAGGTTGCCTCTCTGTGCCTTTTTTATAAATACTTTCATGGTAATTGGTTGAGCTCTTTGCTATGGTACCTAGACAGTATGAGTTAAAGTGTAATACTAGATTGGCAGTGAGATCTCACCAATTTACTGTTCATCTAGCTAGATGTAGGCATAACTTCTATGCTAACAGTTTCTTTTCTCACTTGTGGAACTCACTTTCAACTCCAAGCTTTCCATCAACTTTAATCTGCAAAAATTTAAATGCAATGTCAATTGCTATCTACGGTCTACCTGATTTCTCTTTTCTCTTTCTTTCTAATGTTTTTGTTTTTAATTCCTCCAAACTCTGTCATCCCTTGCATGCTAGTGGCTGCACTACCTTGCTTGGGGTGATACCGATTAAAATTAAATATATATATATATATATATATATATATATATATATATATATATGTAAGCATTGGTTGACTTTATACTTGAGGTTATAGGTAAACAGTGGTTGGGTTCATACTAAATTATATAGGTAAGCATTTGACAGATTTATACTTGAGGCTATATGTAAAGCTTGATCAGTTTTAAATTTGAGGTTGCAAGCATCCACCCTCAGAAGGTAACCACTGGTGAGTGGGGGCTTAATTTTCTAAATGGGACTTATTTTGGTTAAGGAAATGACTGTGTTTCACCTTTTTATTCAACTCATAATAAATTTATGCATTTAATTAAATTCTTTTTTTTTTTCTTTCTTCTAGAACACGAGGGAACAAGATTGATATTCAAATGTGGGTGAAACCTGAAGGAAAAGATGGCCTTTTATTCTGGGTTGGCAAAGAGCAACATTCAGCTTTCAGTGACTTCCTTTCTGTTGGTTTTGTTGATTCCTTATTGCAGTTCCGCTACAATTTGGGAAGTGGAGAGGTTACCATTTCCTATAATGCTACGAATTTCTTTGATGGAGGATGGCACTTTATTCGCATGCAGAGGTAAGTAAAACTTGCAGACACTTTTGAATTTGCAGCATAAATAAATGGTCAATTATTTGTATTGCTACCAGTACCAAATATAGCAAAATGACCAACAATACATTTTATAATAACATGACCAACAATACATTTCATAGCAAAATGGCCAACAATACATTTTATAGTAAAATGACCAACAATACATTTCATAATAAAATGACCAACAATACATTTCATAATAAAATGACCAACAATACATTTCATAGCAAAATGGCCAACAATACATTTCATAGCAAAATGGCCAACAATACATTTCATAGCAAAATGGCCAACAATACATTTCATAGCAAAATGACCAACAATACATTTTATAATAAAATGACCAACAATACATTTCATTTGTAGTTGAAGGCATACAATTGCATTCCAAATATATTTAGTTGAAGTCATAAAATTGTGTTAAAAATATTTAGATCTCAGCATGAAATAACCCATAGATGTTTTAATGTGCCGCTAAACAAAATCAACCAAACCAAACCAAACCCTCAATGACTAGGCAAGCATTCCACCATGACTATTTATTTATGAAAATACATAAAATATGCCACAAGGCCAAAAGTTAGAGAAGGGCTAGGTCATCTTCTTTCCTTTTATTTAACTTAATTTGTCATCTGATCATTCAATAATATTCCTTGCGCAAAAACAATGCATTCTTACTCCAATCACCATTATGCCATAATTTCTCTATAAAGTCCTACCCCATCCCAATATGTACAACTGTCTGGCAGGGTGAGTTGAAATGAAAATAACAACTTTAAAAATCTAAACCCTAATGTGTATTTACAATGGCATAAACTATTTACAAAACAGTATTAATAATTGAAGTGCTCCCCCATCCTAATTGTGGTTGAAATATCAGTTTCCCAGATTAAAATAATATGGTATATAGTTATTTTCTAATCGTAGCTTAGATGTAGCACAAGCCCGAAAGTATGGGGCACCTAGTGAGGATCGAATTCACTTTTCAGTCAAAACTGATCTAGCGAAACAAGCTTGCTAGCCATTACACCACACCGAGGTGCCCAAATAATATGGTATATAAAGTTAATAATTGGTTGGTGCTAAAAAACACTCATACAATCATGCCTAAAGTCAAGACCCGTTAACAATTACAAAAAACACAACCTGAACTACGAAAGGCATCCTACACCCAATAGCGGACTGAAATCTCTGTCACTTAATGGGGTTGGAGTCAGGGAATCAAACTAAAGAAAAAGGATCCAAAACTAGAGAGGCCAACAAGCAAATACTGGCTAGCTAAGTGAAAATTAATAAACTGACTGAAAATGAAAACCTGACCTATCGCTACTTGGGTAATCATCAGACCACATATTACTCCTCTTTGTGTAGACTCTCTCTGCATATATGGCCACTGGAGCGGGTGAAATGAAAGAAATGGGGGAAAATAGTTTTCACCAGTTTTTGTTTTAGATTATTTATAGCCTTGACATTAAGTTTATGGCGATCTTCATTACACACACATACACCCTTACAAATTCAAATCTCTAACAGCATTCATTCATTGGTCAGGAAGCGACGCTGCTATCTGAAGTGACAATTTTGAAATCGCTATATTTTCATATAGTAAATTTTGGCGCTTTTGGGAGAATCGGCTCCTAGAACTAATGCATTTATTGGTCAGTATCGATCAATCAGATTCTCTGCATGTGGAGAATGATTTTCCCATGCGGTGCTCCTGATTCAATGACCACCTATATAAGCATAAGAAAAGAGGAGCGCACTAGTGAAACCTTCAGCTGCCACAGAAATCCACGACAGTTGAAGCCATGCGCCCATCTTCTCACTCAACTCTCAAACTGCATATTCTTTCACACTTACATAATTTCCTCTTGCACGGCAGAACTGTTTAAAACATTTATAACAGACTGATGACTATCATTTTCTTTCAGAGAACTTTGATAGACTTTCGTCTGACTCTTTGCTTGCTTTTTTGTATATATTCTTTATTGGAAGTTTTGCTGAATACAGTTTGTATACCTTTGCCGTATCCCTTCTTTTTCACAACAGTTTGGATTCCTAAACAAATTAAACAAATGTGATGAAAGGCCGCCACATTTCATTGGCAACCCCGTCGCTCGTTTGAGACACGCCACAAGTTTATTTTTATTTATTAATTTTTGTTATACTTTATTTTTTTATTTATTTAATCATTTATTCTTTGTTCATGGAGGAAATACCTGAAGTCATAAAGTAAACGCAGACCGTAGAGTGATGTAAGAAAAAAAAAAGCATCAGATATTAAATCTATATTTATTGGATATAAAAAAAAAAATCCATGCCACGTCTGTATTGGTTTATTGCCGAAGAAATGTATTTTGATTCAAGGGAGGTAACTTAAAATTTACGCCACTTATTGCTTTGTTGAATTTGAATTTGAGTGAAAAATACCCACCTCTGCAATCTGTAAAATTTTTTAATTTATGTAAATTATTTTAATTTTTGAAGACTTAATGCGTTAAAATTATTTAATTAACAATTCAACTGCTTAAGTTAATTCGAAATATCCAGTTAATGTTAGTCGTTAATCAATTTTGTAAATGATGAAAATAAAATTTGCTGATACATATATCGATACACCTGATGAAGGCCAGATGGCACAACTGCCGAAACATTATGATAACATTAACAAAAATAAGGACAATACTTGGAATGTAAATAATGATAACTCTTCATCTCAGAAATTTTTTAAATAATTAGCTTTCAGACATAATATATTTATTTTTTTATAAGAAAACACGTTTTAAAGGCAGCGCATATTACTATTTCAGTCATATTTGTTAGCATTTATAGTTTCTATAATATATATATATATATATATATATATATATATATATCAAGATATGTGTAATTGAAGACCATGGAACTTTTTCATTTAATAATCTTCCTTTCAATTTTTTCTTGCTTTCTCACAAGTTTCTTTGTATTTGGTTCTAAGTTGTTGAAAAGTCATAAACAGTCATCATGGCTGCATGTTTTGGGTTTTAAGTAGATTGCTTTTTATTTTTATAGGTGATATTTTGGGGCATTCAAGTCATGTTGTTTTGGTCATTAGTTCATTAGTGATTTAGGAAGGAGGTTGATATTCATTATGTGGAGGATTAGTTATTAAATATATTTAAGATGTTTCTGCTAGTATTAAATCCTATGTTAGATTTTTGGTCTTTAATTGTGATGGCTTCAAGAATTTGTAAGCATTGTTTGCATTTGTTTTTGTAGATGATTTTGGTATTGTTGATGAGATTTTTCTTACTTCAGAAGATTTGAATCTGTTATTAGTTGTACAGTGTGTTGTCATAAGGTGAGTTTTTTATGGTGCTGGTGCCATTAAGATGGTATATAAAAGACAACATGAGAGAATTGTATTTCGATGCTTGAATGCTCAAAAATATTGCCTATAAAAATAAAAAGCAACAAAAAAAGCTCCAATACAAACATTTTAGAGTGTTTGGGGTCAATTTAAGGAGAGTGCAGAGGATTTGTAAAGATTTGGATGAATCTAATGGTTATTACAAAGGTACAGTAGATCGAAAGACTCACACTGCTCATTCTGAACCCCTGAATTTGTTGGTGAGGGCCTCAGACTCAACACAGAGGCCTACATCAAGGAGATAGTGCTGCTCTGGATCAAGAGGGTAGCTGCTGGGAGACCCTATGTCTGGAAACAGGACTCTGCACCATGCCACAATCAGGTGAGCCCAGTAATGGCTGTCAGACAATTTCTGCAACCACCTGAACCCCCAGACTGCAACCACTTTGATTATTATGTGTGGGGTGCAGTTGAGCAAGAGACCAAGAAAACTCCTTGTAACACCAAAGATAAACTGAAAGCAAAGATTATGGCAGCACTCACAAACTTAAACGAGGAGACCATCATCCAGAAGAGATGCAAGAAATTCCAAAGTTATCTGGAGGCTGTGGTTAAAGCCAATGGCAATTTTATTGAATAAATTTACTCTTTAGTATTTCGAGATATTTTTGTGTACTTTTGGTATATATATATCTGTTAAAATGAGAAGTCAGTGTTATTTTCATTTTTGTGTAATTTAGATGACAATTCATCCATTGCACCCTGCACAAGGTCGTGCTGCTAGATATCCGAATCTAGTTCTTTTCCAAATATGACCAAATACCAGACTTGTTTAGTTTCTTGTCAGGTTAAGAACTTTCCCCCATTTTTCCCCCTAAACTGCAACATAGTTTCAAGTATAAACCTGAAAATTTTTAGCTGTGTAATCAAGTTTTAACCCCCAAAATATTTACATATAGTCTCATGTATAAACCTAACCAATGCTTGCCACAAGTATGAACTTTTAAACATTTTATACATTTCAGAGATAAACAAGACGGTTACCTGTTAGTGGACAACCAGTATGTGGTGGAGGGAAGTTCACCTGGAGTCTTTGTATCATTGAATACTGACAAAAAAGTCTACATTGGTAAGTATAAGGATGGCATATCACCAACATGATAAGTGCACATGATACCTACCATTAAATATTCATCTGTTATTGAATTTAATAAACATCCCAAATTGATGAGTCATTAGCTTCAATGAAAGATACTTCACAAATCTTGACAGATTGATTTTATAAATAGATATTTTCATTAGTTTTATTCCATCTTATTATTGTTGCTTTTTATCCCAACACTCTGGCTCTATACACTCTTCATTATTACTATTATTTTATTACTAGTTTTATTCCATTTTATTAATGTTGTTTTTTTCCCTTATTGTTGAGTTAAACAATCTATATGTATCTCACTATAACGACACAAAGAGAAAACTCTTTTTATCATAAAATTGTATTTATGAAAGTGTTTACCACAAATCAATCCCTGTTGACCTTATTTTACTTGATAAGATCCCCGAGCAAGTCCATCACTGTGAAAACTAAACTAAATGCAACCAAAAATCTTTTTACATTTTCTTTTGGTTGCACAGAGTTCTGGTTTCCAAAAATCAAAGAGACGTTTGAATCTATACTTTTGCAATTATTTTTTTCAAATGCTCTAAAATATTTTAACAATGTTAATACTTACATTTCGTCCTAAGTAAACTTTTTCCTATTTTCAAACTTTTGACAAATTTAAAAAATTTTTTAAAATGTTTTTTTTCTTGTCATATTTTTAGGAGGAATGCCTGATATTGTGCATCATACTAGACGCCGATTTAAAAATGGTTTCAAAGGGTGCATCACGGATGTCACTCTTGGGACTGACATGAAACTAGACCTGATCAATGAAGCTGATGTCGGACAAAATGTCTGGCAATGTTCATAAGGACTTACAATTCATATTCTTGCGAATTTCCACAACAACATTTTTAAAACATCAACAAAGCTAATCATAAGATTAATCATAAAATGGTTTTATGATGCATCTTAAACAGTGACAACTTTTTCAAACAATTAAAACTTTGCAGCTACAACTAAAACTGTGAGGGGTAAAAAAGAAATTATTAATTAAAGCATTAATCGGATGTCATTGAATTTTTTTGTGGGGATAAAATGACCTGTTTTATTTCGTTCCACTAAATATATTTCTGTTCTCTTTAGATTAATTGTTTTCTTAGTTCCACTTCTTATTTTATGATATCTCTCATCTTGTTGGACACAAAAGGTCAGCCTTTGTTGCATAAAAACATTCTTTTTCTTTCTTTCTTTCTTTTTTTTTGTTATCTAGTAGCCATAAAATATGTCAAAGTTTAATAAACGCACCCATAAAATCAGTATCTCAAAAATATGCTTTTTCTCTGGAAACTGCTATTTTTCTCTATTCCTTTAGCAATTTTTATTGTTTTAAAACCCTTTTTTTTAGAATTTCAATAAGACTAAAGCATATAAAATCTGGATTCATACATTTTGCTTGAGAATTGATACCAAAAATGTTAAACACTGTTTATTTATTAAATTATTTACTTACAAGTATCTTTTTATATTTACAAGATTAGAAAAATATTTGAACCAACTACATAGCAATATTTATTGTTTACCATATTATAAAGAAATAACTATAAAAACAATTTTTTTATTCATAAATTTATAAAAATGTTTGTGAAAGAAAATTTAAACAGCCACTAGTAGCTGTAATTATAAATTTTTAGAAAAATGCAATTTAAAGACACTGTTTTGATTTACTTTTACCACATAAATTCACTAAAATAATGTATTTCACTATAGATATTATAATTATAAAATTATATATGTCATATATAATATAATAATGTTATAATAATATATAATAATAATAATAGAATATTATAATCTTTTTTTAATTCAATAATTATATAATATAATAATGATATAATAATAATATAATTTATAATAATAATAATGATATAATTATAATAATAATAGAATATTAAATATTTTTAATTCAATAATATATATATATATATAAAATTATATAGTATAATATATATATATATATATATAAAATTATATAGTATAATAATAATAATTTATAATAATAATGATATAATTTATAATAATAATAGAATATTAAATATTTTTAATTATATAATACAATAATAATGATATGCTAATTTATAATAAGAATGATATAATATATAATGACAATAGAATATTGTATTTTAATTCAATAATTATATAATACAATAATAATAAAGATATAATAATTTATAATAATGATATAACAATATACTTACAGACATTCCTTTCATTTATTCTTGCCACATAAAATCGCTAAAATAGGTTTCGAGCATCTGGATTTTCACTATTTTTCCTTGAGAACTGACAACAAAAATGCTAAACACTATTTATTAGATTGTTTATTTACAAGAATAGTGTGTAATACTTTTCTTGTCAATTCTTGAGAATAAAATTTTGAAAGGAATAAAAATTACCAAAGGAGTATACAGTAATAGCAGTGTCAATAGAAAAACCATCCTTTTGACATGCGTTTTTATTTTGGTGCAGGGGGGGGACTACATTTGTTAAACAATGCCAAATGTTTTTTTTTCAAATCTATGAAAAAGAAAGAGAAAAGAAGAAAAGCAAATAAACTGATATTTAAAATAAACAATTTCTTATCAATAAAATGTAAAAATAAGATGAATACTATAGTCCTATAAATCTAGTCCCAGGCCCCATTCAGATGGGCAATTTTGTCTACATTTCAAATTGTTCATTCACCCTAAACTAAAAGTGAGACAATTTAAAATGTTAATCAGTCTTGAAACTTTTCATCTAATATGTATCCGTAGTCAAAATCAAGTCTCCAGAAACTTAATAAAGAGGTACAGAGAATAATTTTTTATAGATTGTGTAGATGCCACCACAGTTGATATCCAATACTATTTCATATCAAAGCTAAATTTCTGGAAATTTAATAGATACATAGAATGAATTTGGGACATGCATTAGCTCTCACTTACGTGCTTTTATTTCTCTGTATTTTGTTTTAATCATTTATAATTCATTAAAATATTATCCTATGCTCAAGTGTTCTTTCTCTCTTGACTCTTTTAATAAGATCAATATACTTTTCTAAAGAATCCTTGCTTTGCCTCTGCCAGAGAAAGTAGCACAAAAAAGAAATCCTTAGGCCAATGTCAACTGATACACTTTGTCTCCTAAACTCGGTTCTAGCCTGATACTAATAAGGATTTTTTTCATATAAGTCACATAATAGTAATAAAATGACCTATCTGAATGAATGAAAAGATAGCCCCAAATATAGAAATATGAGTTGTTTTTTTAAATTTCCGAACAGAAATCCTATTGAAAACTTATTAACATTTTACTGACAATTTTTGGTTATTATTATAGTAGTTCATTCATTTAATTTAAAATAGTTGAGACAACAAAATTACAAAAATATTGACTGGGGTGCTGGAGTACTAAGTACTGTTACTTGATCTCCCAAAAATAATGACAATAATATGCAACAAATTGCTGGTAGATTGCATGATTTTGACTATGAAAGGGAAAGAATGGAAGCCGGCTGAGTGAGTGCAAGGGAGGCAACTCTTATTTTTTAGTGCTTAAATTTAGGAAGTTATAGTGAGGCTTTAAAAAAAAAAAAAAAAAAGGAAAAAAAAGAATGTAAATATAAAAATTATTGTGGAACGAAATACAACAGAAGCGATTAATTTTCCTGACTGAATTGATAAAAAATAAAAATAATTTAAATCAATTTAAGGATAAGAATAATGAAGCCATCATGAATAACAATAATTAATAAATTAAAGGAAAAAAATTGAATAGTAAAAAAAAGAAAACGAAAACCAGAACATTTTTTTCTTTAAATACATTCTGAAACCAAGATGTTTAAGGCAAAAATGAAAATGCAGTTTTAAAAAATTAAAAAATGATCGATTTTACAAGAAAATTACATTCTTGTAAAACGTTTCTTACTGCATTGGTGCTCCCCATATATATATATATATATATATATATATATATATATATATATAAAATGAATGTATATGCAATATATGTTTGTGTATATATATATATATATATATATATATATATATATAATATTTCAGATATAACTAAAATATATCTGAAAAGGACAATATGGATAACGACAAGAAGGAAATACATTGGCTAAGATAAGTTTGCCTTTTGTCTGTAATCATATATCACACATATATATTTATATATATATATATATATATATATATATATATATGCAGAATATGTGTGTGTATATGCATGTAATGAATGCATGTACAGTATATATAGTGTTTTTGTGTGTATATATATATATATATATATATATATATATATATACACACATAAATACATACACACACACATACACAATTGCATGTGTAGTAACATCAAATATAAATATATACATAGCTGTAATTTTTTATTTTTATGCATTCTGTATTGAAGTGCATATCTACACTGCATAAATGTAAAATGATTATGCAAATAGGAATACATACATACATACATATATATATATATATTTACACACACACATATATATATATATATATATATATATATACATATATATGTTCATGTGGACACATGCGTTCATGTGGACACATGCATTCATGTGGACACATGCATTCTTTATGTGTGTGCATGTATATATATATATATATATATACATGCACACACATAAAGACACACACACAAAGACCTGCATACATGCATACATATTATATATATTTATTCATATTTATGCATTGGCATGCGTGCATCTGCTTACAATCACGTTTATATATGTATCCATCTACATATGACGTTCTACAAATTTAGTTAGTTCTGAAGACGCCTTTTTGTGTAAATAGAATCAAAAGAAATATTACGCATGATATGTGTAGTCAATATAAAGCTGATTAGAAATCATAACAAAGTATTGTTTTTCCATTGATGTGTTTCTTTGTATTCTTTGGAAGCCATTTTATTGCATGCTTTCTTGGTGACCTCATCCTCAGAATGTCTAAAAACATGGATTAAAAGAGTTCCAGGCAAATATGGAACAGCCATCAGATTGGGCTTTTAAAATAGATGATCGGATTTCAAACGTTTTAGTTTTTTCTAACAAGAAAACTTTAAAATAATTTAGACATTAAAATTTCTATGTCTGTTTTTGTTTTTTTAAATATTTTAAATTATTGGGAGTTTTTTTTTATATCAGTTGATCAGAATGCTGAAATTTAAATGATTACATTGTTAACAATGATGAAAAATGACTGATTAAATTCTAAGTTTTTAAAAGGCTGCTATGACATTTTAATAATTTAAATTATTAGAATGCAAATTACTAGTTACCTCCATATTCATATTATTGTTGATTGTGTAATTTTTAGAGGTGAGTGTGTTCGTACTTATGCAGACTTTTAATGGTAGCAATTTTTGCGAAAAAGCTTCTTTTTTTTCCTGTCAATATGGTGGACTGGCTAATCCTGAGTTTTGATTTGAGAAACATGAAACTCAAAGGCATTTATCCTCTAATAAAAGCTGAAAAAAAATCAATATATAATTAACAATGATTACGAAATTCTATCTTAAAATTGAATGTGGAAATGCTAAGTACCAGAGTATATATATATATATATATATATATATATTACACAATACACACACACACATATATATATATATATATACACACACACATACACACATATATATATATATATATATATATATATATGTGAAAGCTGAAAATATAGACAAATCTAACAGGATGATTAAATAAGGAAAAAATAGAAAAATTTTATAAATTTAACTTGTTTCTCTATTCATTAAGCTTCAACAGAAATCTTGGAAGTGGATTGATACAGAATTATA